TGGGAGGCCATGGAGAGCCTTGGAAAGCGCCAGGATGGCGTCGGGCGTCCCAGGAAGCTTCAAGAGGGAGGGGTGGTGCATGCAGCACCGCGCTGGAAGGAGGTGAGGGGCCCTAAAGCGCTGTCAGAAGCCCGATCAGACTCGAAGGACAACAAACCGCAGAAACATAAGCGTTTAACGGTCCGCGCGGATTTACTTGGATCGGGCGGCGCCTGAGGCGCCGCTCCTGGCGCGCTCCGCGCGCTAGGATCATCTGGCGCAGGTCCCAGACATCCGCGCGGACCGTCGAATGTTTATGTTAGTGAAATTGTTTTTTGTATTCTAGAAGTCTTCAGCAGGCAGCATTTGGTATTCTACTGCGCCTGAACGTGCCGGGGGAACGGTTGCGAATCTAATACAGGGAAAACGTGCAGAAGGCACATTCACGGGGCCAGGCTGTTGGATCGGTCTGGACGTGTATTCAGACCCTGGACCTGGCGCAGGAAGTGTTTCCTGACGATTCTTGTACCCCCACCAGCCCATCCAGAAAGGATTTACAAACGAGTTGCCATTTCAAGGGAAATCGGTTAGAGCGTGACGCCGAGAGGGGAGACACCAGTCCAGGCGAAGCTAGAAGCTGGAATCAGCCATATCGGTCCTTGACGTGGAGCTTCGAGCACGGACCTGGTGCCAGAATTACTTTTCGGCAAGTCGTAGAGGCTGGCAAGTGCTTTGTGGGTTCACAGCCCGTGCTGAGAACAAGGAGGACTGCGCTCTCAGCAGGTGGCTCACTGAGGCCACTTCGACAGCAGGCCCAGGAACGCCAGAAGTCGTGTCCCGCCCCGTTGGATCCTATTCGATCCCGTTCCGTCTTCCTCTGTCCCCCGCCTTGACGGCGGGGGAAGCGGAAGAGTACGGAGGAGAAGCAAGGCCTGCCTCCCCCCAGGCCTCACCTGCCTCCCCGCACTCCTTCAACACACACACACACACGCACACACACACACACACACACCCACACACACACACGCACACGCACACGCACACGCACACGCACACGCACACACACACACACACACACACACACACCACACACACACACACACACACACACACACACAACACACACACACACACACACACACATACACACACACACACACACACACACACACACACACACACACACACACACACACACACACACACACACACACACACACACACACACACACGCCCCCCCCCCCCCCCCACACAAAAAAAACGCAGCTGGCCTCTAGTCTCTTCCCTCCTCCCCTCCCCTCCCCTCCCCTCCAGCCCCCCCCCTGCTCCCCTCCTCTCCCTCTCCCTCTCCCTCCCTCTCCCTCACCCTCCCCTTCTCTCCTTCTCCATCCCTATCTCCCTCCCTCCCTTACCTAACGCATCTCGTTTGTTCTCGGTCCTCTCACACCCTGCATGTTTGCTAACTGGCTTTCTTAGGGAGCGTGGTAGATCATGCCGTATGTGCATGTAAGCAAAAATAGCTACACTTAGAGGGCGCTGCGTGCAGCAAGTACCGTTCGCATTCGACATTGGCTGTACATTAACCTGGCAGCACGGGGGGCACTGTTACGGCAGAATGTGGAAATTCCTGTTGTACTGAGTTTAAACATCTTCTCTTCTGCTTGCGTTCAGGCACAGGTGTTGTTCACTGGGTCAGGCCAGTGCCCAAGCCCAAACAGAACGGGCGCGCACGCGTGTGGGTTGGTGAATCTGCGCCTGAGACAACAAGATAACCAAGGGACCAAGAACACGGGACGAGGAAAGCAGTACAGCATCTTCGCATAGTTGTTCATTCTTCCTTCGCTTCGTCTCTCTGCTACTCTTCCAGATGAGGGAGGGAGGAGGAGGAGGAGGTGGAGGAATAGGATAATTGGCAGGAGTGAGGAGAAGGAGGAGGAGGAGGAGGAGGGGAAGGATTAGGGGGAAGAGGAGGGGGAGGAGGAGGGCCATAAGACAAAGGACGGGGGCATGATGAAGAACAGGATGAGGATGATGATGATGAGGAGGAGGAGGAGCAAGAGTATGAAGGGAGGAAGAGGGGGAGTAGCAGGGCTTTGTAGCGTTTTGCTGTCATTATCATTCTTGTCGGGGCCCTCGTGGCCACGGCTGGGTGCAGCTCGAAAGATCGGTCAGGCTGGTCCTTGAGAGAGGTCTGGGGAGTAACTTTGACATCCAGGCGCCGCGAGGAAATTTCGACGGGCCTCTGGGGCCCGTTGCTCTTTCCTCATGGCATGAGTTTTCTGCCGATGCGCCGTCTTCTGCATGTGTTGTCTTTGGCTTTCCAAACTACCATCGTTTCTGCCGATGCGCCGCCTAGTCGCGGCTGCTTGTGTGTGTGTGTGCGTGAACGTGTAAGTGTGTGGGCATGAGTTGACGCGCCATCTTCTGCATGAGTTTTGTTTGGCCTTCTATACTACCATCTTTTCTGCCGATGCGCCGTCTAGTTGCGGCTGCTTGTATGTGTGTGTGTGAGCATGACTTTGCTGCAGATGCGCCGTCTTCTGCATGAGCTTTCTGTGGCATTCTAAACTACCCTCGTTTCTGCCGATGCGCCGTCTAGGTGCGGCTTCGTGTGTGTGTGTGTGTGTGTGTGTGTGTCTCTGGGGGCTGATTTCTGGGCCCTGAGGCCGCAAGAAGACGACCCGCGGCGAGAAGCCAGTCCTCGGGATCATGTCCAGAGCTCCCGGGGCCCACGCCGTGAAGAAGCCACGGCGCGATCCTTCCTCGACGCGCTCATGCTGGGAAGATCGCGTGCCCGGTCATTTCGCTGCGTCGTTTGTGCCGACGCGTGGCTTTGCGTCTCGAAGGGGGCGCCGCGGCCACCGGCGCCTTGGAGGCGGTGGGCTCGCCGATGGGCTTGCCGCGGTGCCGACGTCGTCTGCTTGGGCGCGAGACGCAGGGCTTGCCGTGGGTTTGCGGTGGTGTCGGCGTCGTCCACCTGGGTGCGTCGAGAACAAGCGGCGCGACGACACGTGCCCTGCTTTGCCAGGCTTCCTGTCCCTTGGGGCGAGCAGACCGTGCGAATCACCGCGTGGGACGCTCGATGTTTGGAACCCGCCACTCTCGTGGGGGATCGTGTCGCCGGGAGGAGGGTCGAGCATCGAGACGAAGGGCCTCACGTTCTGAGCGCGACCCCCCTCCCTTCTCCCCCCTCGGGGCCGCCCCTGGCGCTTCCTCCGCCTGGCCCCGTGCTCGACTGCACGAAGGAAGCGCGCCCCTGGCCGGAGGAACCTTCGGTACGGGCCCATTTGGGGCCCCCCGATCGCGGAACGCGATGCGACAGCAGCGGTCTGCACGCTTGGGGTTCGGCCCCCTCGCGCGCGCCCCGAAAGCCACAGGGTCACTCCTTACAGCCAGGGCGCTGAAACAAGAGCCGCTTTGGGTTCGGCGGGGGCTCGTTGCTCCTTGGGGTCACTCTGGGCTTGCGCCTCCCGCCCTCCTCGTGCACCCAGCCGCTGTCGGCGCCAAAAAAGGGGCCTCGTTCTTTCTATTTTTCCGGCGCTCGGCCTTACGTCTTGGGCGCTTCGGCCACCAGGGCAAGCGCCCCTCTCGGGCGCGGTGGGCTCGCCGCGGGGCTTGCCGCGGTGCCGACGTCGTCTGCTTGGGCGCGGGACGCAGGGCTTGCCGTGGGTTTGCCGTGGTGTGGGCGCCGTCCACCCGGGCGCGCTCCAGACAAACGACGCTGCGACATTTGGCGTTCCTGATTTCAGCAGCCCTTTAATGCGCGGGGACCACCTTGTGGAAAAAAACAGAAAACACGCACGGCACCGACAATTGCACGGGGAGTGGACGTCCGAGCGGTGGCAAGGTGTTTTTTTTTCCGCCAAGGACTTATCGAGGAGCATCTCGGATCCGGGGAGCACCTAGGATCACCTTGCGACTTGCGAGAAGATGGCACGCTCGGCACCGAAACATGCACGGGGAGTGGACGTCCGAGCGGTGGCAAGCTCTGGGGGGGCCTTCGGAGGCCTCCGCGGGGACCTTTCGGGCGGCCGCCCGGGAGGCCCCGGGGAGGTCCAGGGGAGGCTCCGAGGGGGTGCTGCGGGGAGCTCACGGGAGGCTCCGCAGCGCGCAGCTGCCGTGCTCTCGCCCACGGGGTGCCCCTCTCACTCGGAGGAGGCAGCCCGCCCATGCCGCTGCCCGTCCCCTGTTTTCCCCTCGTGGGGCTTCCCGCGTGGCCCTCGTGGCCGCCGCTGGGTTCGCCTCGAAGTTCTGGTCCGGACGCGCCCCAGAAGAGGTCCGGGGAGCAGCGGCATCGGCACCTAGCGGGTTGCCCATGCGCACCCACGCACACTCCCCACCTGGAGTTCACGGGCGGGCGTCCTGCGCAGCACCATGAACAGTGAGTGCTCGTACCCGCCTCGCTCTCGGAGTTCAGGGGGAACTGCGATGGCATTTTGCGAGGGTTGCACCCCTCTAGGCCTCCCAGATGGGGTCAGAGTAGATAGGGGTCGGAGGATCGCGCCGCATCGCCGATGCATCGCCGATGCGGCTTGATGTGGAGCCCGATGTTCGCCACGCCGACGACGCCGATGCGTCGCCGATGTATCGCCGATGCATCGGCGAGGCATCGCCGATGTATCTCGGGGAGGCTGCGCGATCCTCCGACCCCATCTTCTCCGGGAGGCCTCGAAGCCCTCCTGGTGCTCTCGCCCTGGCGCGGGCCGCAAATCCGAGGGGTGTTGGAGGCGCCCCTGGCCCAGGCTGCCCCCAGCTCCTCGCCCCCCTTGGGGAGCCCCCCATGGGGCCCCCCTGCGCCCCGCGAGGGCTGCTCTGGAGGCCCGGGGGGCCTCCTTGGGGATCCAGGGGGCCTCCTTGGGCCAGGGGCACCTCGAGCAGCACCCGAGCCTGGGCCCCGCCAAGCCCGACCCGACCGCCCCACCCGCGGGGGGCGGGCGGGGGGGGGGGGGACGCGCCCGCCCCCCTCGGGCAGAAGCGGGCGACGATGGAGCCCAACGGCAGAGGGAAGCAATTACGGAACACTCCCCCTCCCCCCCAAAGCTCAACGTGGGGCACGCGCGGGGGAAGCCGCGGTCGAGGTGCCACTCCTCGAGCCCACCGCCAGCTTCGAACACCGGGAGGGGAGGGGCAGCTGTTGACAGCCGACTGCGGCAGGAGTGCTCGCCACTGTCTTCCGAGGCCCGCGGGTAAACTCTCGGAGCTCCGCGTGGGCCTCTCGGATCGGAGGGGGGCCCCTGCCCCCCGTGGCGCGCGGAGCTCGCCAGGGGCAGCGCCAGGGGCGCCGCCGCGGGCTCCAGCGCCGATCCGAGAAGTCCGCGCGGACCTCCGAACGCCGATGCCGATGCTCATGCCGCCTGCTCGTCCCCCAGCGCTGGGCCGCAGCGGCCGCTCGCTTACGCCGCAGCTTCCGGAGGACGACGACGACGACGACGACGACGACGACGACGACGACGACGACGACGACATCGAGGACGCCGCGGACGATGACGACGACGACGACAACGACGACGACGACGACGACGACGACGAGGACGAGGACGACGACGACGACGACGAGGACGACGACGATAACGACGCGGACGACGACGACGACGAAGACAACGACGAAGAAGACGACGACGAGGATGAGGACGAGGACGACGACGAGGACACGAGCACAGAGGGGGGGACGAACGACGAGGCGACAGGGGAGGGGGCGCTCGACAGGCTGCCAGGCCGGCGAGAGGCGCGCTGGGCTCTCGCGCCAGTGCGTTGGTATCCCTGCTTGCGCTCGGCTGGATTCGGGGAGTCGAGCAGTGGCGAAGTGCCCTGGCTTGTCTATAGGCTCACCAAGAGGGGAACGAATAATGGCATAAACATAAAACCTCTGAGGTCCGCCCGGATTTCTCGGATCCGCGCGGACCTCCGAGTTGTTATGTTTATGTCAATCTTCGTTTCCAAACCAAAGAATTGTCTAAGAACTTGTTGTGGTCTGCACGAGATGTTCTTAGACCATTTCTGGCCGAGACCATCTTGTTTTAACATATCGCCCTTGTGTTCTGAGAACGTTGTCTTTCTTCTTAGAATTTTTTGGGTTCTAAGAACATATCGTGGTAGTCCAAGAGGAATGCCGGGACGGTCGGTCCCTGCTCAAGAGAGGTGGCGGGGTAGGTAGGAGTGGGTGCATCGAGGGCTTGGGAGAGAAACGTTTCAAAGACAAGTGCACCAGTCGTGATCGGCCGTGTTTGGTGGGGATCGTCGTTGTCGTCGTCGTCGTCGTTGCCGTCGTCGTCGTCGTCGTCGTTGTCGTCGTCGTCTTTCCCCCCTTCCTCCTTCTCCTCCTCCTCCTCCTCCACAATTACACAATATGAATACTACTCTCCCACTTCCCCTGATGGCGTCCGGAAGATATTCGGCCCCCCCCCGCGTACTGTTTTTTTACACACAGGTTTCCCCGGAGTTGGGTTTTCGCTTGTGTTTTTTTCTAAAATGCTGCTCTCGCTGAGGCGCCAGCCTCATTTTCGGGCCCCGCTCGTTCCGAATCGTGCTCCCGCTGCAGCGCTGGCATCATTTCCGCCGGCGCATGGGCTGCACGCCCGAGCCGGCGCCCGGGCCGGCGCTCGGGCCGGGTCCGGAGCCGGTTCCGGCCGCCCCCAGAAAATGGAGTTCCGAGGCGGCGCCGAAATAAGGCCATTCTAATACACATTTTTCTTTTGAAAATGCTCAATCTCTGCTTCCGGCGCCCGGGGGGCCTCCCGGGCCGATTCCGACGCCCGGGCGAGCGGGCGCCCGGGCCAGACGCCCGAGCCGGTGCCCGGGCCGGCGCCCGGGCCGTGTCCGGAGCCTGTTCCGGCTGGCGCCGGAAAATCGAGTTCCGAGGCGGCGCCGAAAAAAAACCATTCCAATACACATTTTTCTTATGAGAATGCTGAATTTCTGCTTCTGGCGCCCGGGAAGCCTCCCGGGCCGATTCTGGCGTGCTTCCGCTCGTTCCGAATCGTGCTCCCGCTGCAGCACTGGCCTCATTTCCGCGCTTCCGCTCGTTTCCACTCGTGCTCCCGCTGCAGAGCTGGCGTGATTTCCCGTGCCATGCCACGGCATGCAATGCAATGCTAGGTTGATACTACGCTTCGCGGTGCTCTTCTACGCCATGCCATGCCGTGCTCTACAATGCATCGCGTACCCTTTCGGGATCATTGCCCTGCTCGACATCCGACTGTGCGAGTAGAGAGGGGATCTGCGCCATGGTAAGGGATGGGAGGGAGGGGTAGGATGTCAGATATGACGCGAGCGCACCTAGCTTGTCCTCCTCCTCCTCCCCCTCCTCCTCCTCCTCCTCCTCCTCATCATCATCATCATTATCATCATCATCATCATCATCATCATCATCATCATCATCATCATCATCATCATCATCATCATCATCCCGCCTCCTACTTCTGCTCCTCCTCCGCCTCCTCCTCCTCCTCCTCCTACTCCTCCCTCCTCCTCATGTCGGCCCATGGACTGCTTCGTAGCGTCACGGAGCGCTGTGGTTGCCGATCGTAGAGCTCCCTCGTTTGAGTGCAATAACCTCCAGACAAGCCCCCGACTCAGTTCGCCGCTATCCTCTTCCTCCTCCCGTTCGACCTCCCTCTTTATCTTATTATTAACTGTTATGTGCATTACGTATTCTTCTTGTTATGATCATTCGTATTCCTCTTCTGCTTCTTCTGTTTCTTCTTCTTCTTCTTCTTCGTCTCCTTCCTCTCCTTCCTCCTCCTCCTCCTCCTCCTCCTCCTCCTCCTTTCCCGTGTCCTCCTCCTCCTCGTCCTCACGGTCCTCGCCCGAGCCTCCCCTCTGTAGCCACGTCGGTCCAAGGACAGCCTCCTGCCAGGCCTCCGAGACGGTCCCCCGGGAAGCCCCCCCGGAGGCGGGTGGGAGGGCCCCGCCGGGACTCGGCAGCCTCGGGGTGCGCCACAATCAGGGGCAGCGATCGGGGGGGACAGGCATACGGTGGGGGCTTTCGTTGAGGAATGCGCCCAGGAAGCCCCAGACCCTGGAGGGTTCCTTATCTCATGAGGGCGGCGGTGAGATCCATGGCCAATCCACGGCTGGAGTTCCACTGGCTTCCAGACCCAGGATTCCTTATCTCAGGGTTCCTTATCCAATGCCCCCACCGTAGGGACGGACCGAGGTATAAGATCGAGGTCGGTTCGGGGACGGTGCCCCAGTGTTCTCCGCGTTTGTTGGGTGTCCTTGCGCCTGCTGGGGGAGGGCATCCTCGAGTGATCTTACTGTTTGGGGTGTTTGACCGGCGGAGGGTCCCATGTCCTTGAAGGATGTTCTTCTGTACTAGGTCCGGCCGTAGGGGGGGATTGCTGGACCCCGAATCGGGCCCGATAGCCCCAACCTGCCTGGAAGCGTGCGGATTCACCGTCGTGTGCCTATCGCCGATCTATTGGCGATGTACCGCCGTTTCCACGTCGATCTTCGTGTAATTAAACCCAAGACTCATTGACGATAGTGCAATACATCCTCCCCCAAGCTCCCTCTTCATAAGCCCCTGCACGGATACATTTCCACGGAGGAAAATGCCCCGTTGGAAGACAACCGTTCGAAAATCCAGAACCGTATCTGAAGACCATTCTTGAGACCTCAATGCCTCAATGCCGCGAATCACCGTTACTGTTGCGTCTTGACGATTTTGGGATTCCGAACCCGAGTTATCCCGGACCCGAGTTACCCCGGATATTTCGGGCGTCCAGAGCCCCGAATCATCAGGGGTAACTCGGGTCAGGGCTAACTCGGGTTCGTTTTTCGGGAACCCAAACCCGAGTTACCCCGGACCCGAGTTACCCCGGATAACTCGGGCGTCCAAACTATGCCAATCCCCCCCTTATCCTTGCCCCTCACCTATGGCCCAGGCAGGCCAGCCGGGCTCCGCCTTCGACGTCGTCGTCGTGGGCGCGGGGCCCGCGGGGGTCGCGGCCGCGCTGGCGCTGCGGGGCCGGGACGTGGCCTGGGTGGATCCGGAGCTTCGAGGAGGAGGAGGAGGAGGAGGAGGAGGAGGAGGAGGAGGAGGAGGAGGAGGAGGGGGAGGAGGAGGAGGAGAGGAGGAGGAGGAGGAGGAGGAGGAGGAGGAGGAGGAGGAGGAGGAGGAGGAGGAGGAGGAGTTTTTTTTCTTGTTTCTACCCTTGGGGCTTCCTGGGTGGCCCTCGTCACCACCTCGCCGATGCCGCCCCGGAACTCTGGTCCGAGCGCATCTCCCCGGAGAGGTCCTGGCCGGAGCAGCGGTGTCGGCACCAATTGGTTTCCCCAGGAGTTCTCCGGCGGCCGGCTGGCTCGCTTGCGCAGCGTGCCGTGCAACACCAAGGTTTGGAGAGGCCCGGGCCTGCGCAGACCCAGACCACCGACGTCATGATTTTTTCATGACGTCGACCCCCCGAGGTCTCGACCCATTCCCTGGGACCGGCTTTTCGTCCTGAGTCGTTTTTTGACAGTCCCGAGGGCCGGTAAGGGCCCCCAAAGGCCAAAAAGAATGAAAAACCTCCCGTCGTGATTTTTTCATAACTCGAGGGGGTCTGGGGAGGCAGGAGGCCGTTTTTAGGGTCTGGCGACGGCCCAGGCCAGCGGGCCCGCCCGCCCCCCCACCTCCTCCTCGGATGGCCTGGCCTTGTCGGTCGCACGGGTCCGAAGGGGGGACTCGGTGCTGGTGCGCGCAGGCACGCGTGGGGCTGCCCGAAGCGAAAAAAGGTCAGGTCACCGACTGGCCCAGAGATCCGACGTCGTGATTTGTTCAGTGCGGGGTTCCTCCAAGTCTTCACCCATTCCCCAGGACCGGTTTTTCATCCTGAGTCTTTCTTGGACGGCCCCAGGTCGGCAACGCCCCAACATACTTATACTATATGTGCGTCGCCCCCCCAGGGGCGACGCGCGCACCGAGAAATCTTATAGTATATGCGTCGTGGCGGGCGCTTTCTGGCCACACCGCTCGGGAAACGATATACTACAAGATGGGTATACTATATGTTCGGGTCGGACGCGCGCCTCCAAGGAGGACATATAGTACTAGTATGTCCATGTGCGTCCCACCAGGGACCGGCGAGGGCCACGCGAGGCCGAACATTTCGAAAAACCTCCGTCTTGATTTTTTCATTACGCTGGATCTCTGGGAAGGTCAGGTTGCCGACTCGCACCTCCCCACCCTCCCCCCCACCGGATAACCCGCAGGTCTTCGCTGGAAGTCAGAAGCGGTCTCCAGCTCCCGTATAGGTTCCTCCGGGCTGGCCCCTGCAGGCCCCCATGGGGCAGGCCCGATGGGGCCTGTTGAGGCCAGCCTGAGCTAAGCAGCTGCGCCCAGGTGCGGTCTGTTCGCGCCCCACCAGGCGTCCTTCCGCGGCCCCGGGGATCCCGACCCCTGCCCTGGGGCACGGCTTGCGCCCCAGATCCGTTTGCCATGTCCAGGGAGCCCGACAGTCGCCGGTCGTTGAGAGAAGGTGTTCTGGGATTTCCAGATCCCAGTGTGCTTCAAGCGCCCTCCCACTTCGAGAGCCCAATCCACTGTGTCCTCATTCCTACTTCATGTTTCCACCTACTTCTTCCGACTGGCGGGTAAAGGGCCCTGGAGGCCAAAACCAAGGACAGTTGTTTCCCAACCCTCCTTCGTTGGCCACTGGTTTTGAATGGAGCACTGCGGTCGCACACCTTCCTTCCTTCCCGCCTCCTTTCTCCTCTTGCCTCTTGCCTCTTGCCTTAACCTCGCCACTTTCGAGGGCTGCTGGGGGGTTCAGCGGAGTGAGGCACAACGCAGATTCAGATTAGACCTCGCCATCCTTGGGGGGCTGCGATCTGCGAAATTGTCGCCACCTTCGAGGGCTGCTGCGGGGTCCAGTGGAGTGAGGCACCACCCAGGTTCAAATTTGACCTCGCCATCCCTTGGGGTGCTGCGATCTGCGAAACTGTCGCCACCTTCGACGGCTGCTGGGGGGTTCACCAGACTGAGGCACCACCCAGATTCAGATTAGACCTCGCCATCCTTTGGGGTACTGCGATCTGCGAAACTGTCGCTACTTTGGAGGGCTGCTGGGGGGTCCAGCGGAGTGAGGCACCACCCAGGTTCTGATTAGACCTCGCCACTCTTGGGGTGCTGCGATCTGCGAAATTGTCGCCACTTTCGAGGGCTGCTTGGGGGTCCAGCGGCGTGAGGCACCACCCAGATTCAGATTAGACCTCGCCACCCGTAGGGTGCTGCGATCTGCGAAACTGTCGCCACGTTCGAAGGCGGCTGGGGAGTTCAGCGGAGTAAGGCACCACCCAGATTCAGATCAGACCTCGCCAATCTTGGGGTGCTGCGATCTGCGAGACTGTCGCCACTTTGGAGGGCTGCTGGGGGGTTCAGCGGAGTGAAGCACCACCCAGATTCAGTTTAGACCTCGCCACTCTTGGGGTGCTGCGATCTGCGAAACTGTCGCCACCTTCGAGGGGTGCTGGGGAGTTCAGCAGAGCGAGGTACCACCCAGGCTCAGATTAGACCTCGCCTTCCCTGAGGGACTGCGATCTGCGAAACTGTCGCCACTTTCGAGGCTTGCTGGGGGGTCCCGCGGGGCGCTGTCGCGGGCCGCCCGCAGACGCGGCGGTGCGCCTTCGAGTGTTTAGTTTCCGCACTGTAAAGTGCAGGAAGGAAGCAGGGAAGCTGGCGGGCAAGCTAAGCCTCGCTCGCTTCTTGCGCTAAGTGTACGCCGGTTTGATTATGTTGTCGAGCGCCGCGGCGTCATGGCGCAGGCAGCGTTGCATCGTTAGCGTACTACCGACAAGCAACACTCTTCGGTTTCCTCCCATCACTTTCGTCATTATCCTCTGCCCGCTGCCACCTTCCCTCTGCTACTGTCGCGCTGACGGTTCGCCCCCCGCGCGTCTTTTGCATGCCCATCGTTCCCGCCCCCATGTCCTCCTCAAGCCTACGCCCTCGCTCCTCGTCCTTTGGTCTCGTCCTGTGGATCGCGCCACGTGAGCCCCCCCACGTAGCCTGCACAACATATAACGGCCCCTGCACTGTCATTTTCTTGGTGGGTTTGGGTCCACTCCTCTTGTCACTCGATGCAAACGGCCTGGGCACTTTGCGGGGTATCTTACAGCAGCAAGGACAGACGCCAACGCGTTGTTAAAGCCAGTGGGGGCAAGTGCGAGTAGCGGAAGAGGTGGGCGGTCGCGGAGGCGGAACGCGGGAGGAGTCTTCGCCACGAGGGATGTGCAGGCGGCCTCGGGCACCAGAGGGTGGCGAACCGGGCGGAACGCAGTGGAAAATACACGGATCTGAATTCGAATGGGGTTGTTCGTGCGGAGTGTGGTTTCCACGGAGGTTGGTTTCGGCGGTTGGAGGCTGCGTGTGTGTGTATATATACATATATCATATATCAGAGTGAGGGGGCCGAACGGTCATTCACTCTCCCTGGGTGCGTGGCTGAAGTGGAATTCCGCCGTGCGGATTCTCGTTGTTGTTTGTTGTTGTTTGTTGTCGTCGTCCCACCCCGCGACCCACCCCGCGACCCACCCCGCGACCCACCCCGCGACCCACCCCGCGACCCACCCGCGACCCACCCGCGACCCACCCTGCGACCCACCCCGCGACCCACCCCGCGACCCACCCCGCGACCCACCCGCGACCCACCCGCGACCTACCCGCGACCCACCCCGCGACCCACCCCGCGACCCACCCCGCGACCCACCCCGCGACCCACCGCGCGACCCACCCGCGACCCACCGGCGACCCACCCCACGGACCACCCCGCGACCCACCCGCGACCCACCCGCGACCTACCCCGCGACCGACCCGCGACCCTCCCGCGACCCAAACCACGTTCAAGGTACAAACCACCACTTTCGGCGCCTGCGGCGGGCGTTTTTTGCATTCCTTCCAGGTGGAGAGCCCGCGACCCACCCCGTGACCATTTCGCGACCCAAACCACGTTCAGGGTACAAATCACATTTTTCGGCGCCTGCGGCGGGCATCTTTTGCATTCGTTTCAGGTGGAGAGCCCGCGGCACACCCGCGACCACGTGCAGGGTACAAACCACATTTTTCGGCGCCTGCGGCGGGCATCTTGTGCATTCGCTCCCGGTGGAGAACCCGCGGCCCACCCGCGACCCAAACCACGTTCAGTGTACAAACCAATTTTTTTGGCGCCTGCGGCGGGCTGCTTTTGCATTCCTTCCAGGTGGAGGTGGAGAGCCCGCGACCCACCCGCGACCTAAACCACGTTCACTGAACAAACGAATGCCGCACAAGCGCGGCGGCGGATTTTTGCATGCCGTCTGAGCCCGCAAGGACCTCTTCAAGCCCCGCGCATCCACACCAGCCCGTCCAGCAACTCTGCCCTGGCGAGTTGCCTTGATCAGAGAAGGCGGGGAGCATAAAGTAGAAAAAAAGGATTGCGTTGCAGTGATCTTGGGAAAGGAGGGGGAGGCAGGAGGAGTAAACAGGGGACGAGGAGAACGCGAAAGAAGAGAGGATGTAAGGAGAATGTGGAGAAAGAAAGGAGGAGGAGCAGGAGGACGAGGAGGGGGAGGAGGGGGAGGAGGAGGACGAGGAGGGGGAGGAGGGGAATGATGATGATGATGATGATGATGATGCTGCTGCTGCTGCTGATGATGATGATGATGATGATGATGATGATGATGATGATGATGATGATGATGCTGGACGACAATGGGTGGACGATGATGGAGGCCGATGAGGGCGAGGACGACATTGGGAGGACGATGATGAAAGGACGAGGGGGGGAGAGGGAGGACGAGGAAGAAGAGGAGGAGGAGGACGAGGTGGAGGAGGAGGATGACGATGACGATGACGACGAGGACGAGGAAGAGGAGGAGGAGGAGGAGGAGGAGGAGGAGGAGGAGGAGGAGGAGGAGGAGGAGGAGGAGAGCGCCATCAACAGGGAAGGTGGGGGCCACGAGGTCCGACGGCTCGACGACGCCCGCGTCGCCCGCGCCCGCCCCCTCACTCTTATCCGCAATTGCGGGGTGCTACGTATCTATGTGTGTCTGTGTGTGTGCCAGCGCTCCCTTCCCTACCAGCTCTCCTGCTGTAGGGGTGTCAGCTTGAATCGAGAGCCACTGCGTAAGCAGATCGTCGAGGAATTTCTTTCGGCGGCGGGCGAGGGGGGGAAGTGAGAAGGACAAGGCCTTCTCAGAAGGTTTGGAAGTCCCCTGGCCTTCTGATAAGTTTTCTACGCCTTCCCCGAAAACAAAAAACTTGTTTCAGAAGGCGCCAGGGCTTCTGAGAAGTCCCGCCACCTTAGAAGGCCTTCTCCTTGTCACTTTTACCCCTCGTTCGCTGCCAACTGTCTGCTCGAATCATGCAGAGAAGCCGTTTTATCGGATTGCAGAAGTCATCTCGTCGGGGGTCTGAACCTGAGCGCTGCTGCCAACCCAGACGTGCGGTGCCTTGATTGTTCTATTCACGCGGCCCCAGGAAGTCCCGACCCTTTTCCCAGAGCCTGCCAAAATGGGAGGTGAAACCGCATGCGCAGCAAAAGCGAACGCACTGGGGCCTTCGGTGGAGCCCCCTATGGGGCCACGACAAGTGTGAGGGGTGTGCCGAAATGGGGGGTGGAACCGCATGCGCCGCAAAAGCGAACGCAGCCACTGGGGCCTTCGGTGGAGCTCCCGGTTCTGCATTCCGAGTTTCTTTTGTTGACGGCCAGCGGGCCCGGCGAGGGCCTCGGAGTCCGCACACGGCACGACACTTCCCGTCGTTTTCTTGGCGGCGCGAGCATGTCTGGGAAGGTCGACCTGCTCGTCGGGCCCGCCTTCTTCGGCCACCCTCTGCTCCTGCCGGTGATGGAGCAAGTGGAGCCTGCGCTGCAGGCGCTCGTGTCTCGCGCGCACCCGCTGCCCGGCTCGGTGGACCCGTCCGAGCGAGGGTTCACTTACTTGGGCGACTGCAAGGCTCAAAGGGGGAAAGTACGCATCGAGGTTCGAGGTCTTTGGGGGGTTTCGTCGTTTCTCGGCGGTATTCAGCCTCGGGATGCCTTTCAGCGACTGCACCTCGCCGAGAGCGCGCCGGGGGTGCCCGGATCGTCCCGAACAGCCGCCAGAGGCACCCAAAACAACGCTCAGACGAGGACACGGTATCGATAACGCTGCCTTGGCGTCGTTTTCATTATTTGAGCCTCCTGGCAGGCCCTCGTCGCCTCCGCTGGATTCGCGTGGGAGATTTCCTGTATTAGCACGGTGGGTGCGTTTGTGAAGGAATGTGCCCAGGAGGCTTCAGACGTGGCCAAGCCGATACCGCTGCCCTTGCTTCGTTTTTGCCCTTTCGGGACTCCTGGAAGGCCCTGGTCGCCACCGTTGGATTCGTCTCGAAGTTCTGGTCAGAGCGCACCCCGGAAGAGGTATGGGGAGCAACAGTATCGATCCAGTGGGTGCGTTTGTTAAGAAATGTGCCCAGGAGGCTTCAGACCCTGGAGGATTCCTTATCTGATGAGGGCGGCGGTGGTATCCATGGCCAAGCCTCAGTTGGTCTTCCACCGGCTTCCAGACCCTGGGTTCTTTATGCAAGGTTTCCTCACCCAATGCCCTCACTGTGCGGTCAAAGCGCATAATAGGGATGAGCAATTTTCCAAGGTTGCCCCTGCTGCCCCCTCGGCCCATCCTCCGCACCTGTCGCTGGCCAACCCTGATCGAAAAGCGTCAGCATGGCCCTCCAAGGCCCTTGCATCCTTATCCTTATGCGTTTAGACTGCATGTTCTGGCTGCCAAACAGGCTGTTTTTGACGCTGCCACCGCGGGGATCCTTGCTGGGGGCACCGCTCCGATCCATGGCTGCGTGGAGAAGCTTACGCCGGACGGCGGGGGCTGGAGGGCGACGGTCACCGACGCAAGCGGGACTTCGAGCGAGGTGTGGGCCCGGTGTGTCGTGCTCGCCACTGGCTGCAGGCCTCGGGGGAGCCGAATGGGTTGCGCAAGCAATGGGTGCGCAGACTCGCAGCAGTTCCAGTCCATTTTGAACAGCACCCGCTGTCGGTGTCGTCGCGAACGTTGCCCATTCGAGGCAAAAAAGCACCAGCCCAACAGTGGCCGCTGTCGGCGTTGGACAACGTCTGTTGTTGGGCATCGTGCCCATTTTTCCCAGACCCGTTTCGTGCGTCCACGAGGCCGAAGGATTCTGTCGAAGGGGCCTGCCTACCCTTGGAGGACGCATTCGTCGTGGAGAAGCTGGCGTCCAGGCTGCGTGCGCGCGACAGAGTTGCGGTGATCGGCAATTCGCACTCTGCTGCGATCGTGCTGTCGAACCTGCACGAACTGAAGCAGTCTCTGTCTTTGCACGTGGGGAACTTCGCACGCCGTCCAGTGCGTCTTGCAGAATGGATGCCCGACTTAGGGACTTATCGGTACACCTCCACAGGGTTGAAGGGATTCGGCGCGGTCTTCGGGCAAGAGCACATGACGCATGACTCAGCCTCTCTCCAAATCTCTCCCGCGAGCGCTTTCGACGGCAGCGAGTGGGATTGGACGATTGACTGTACCGGTTATGTGCCCAATGTGCTTCCAGAGGTGCCAGGTGTGACACACTACCTCGATCGCTGCGAGGCCTCTGGGCAGCTGGGCGTGGAACGAGGGATGGCGGGGGTGTTCGGAGTGGGCGCCCCCTGGCCAGAGCCCCCAGGGCGCCTCTGGGGCACGGGACTGGAAGATGCCGAAGGGTTCAAGTCCGAGGTCAAAGGAGGAAAAGGTACTCATGCTCCTACCCTTGCCTCGTGTTCTACTTGTCGTGGCCTCCTGGGAGGCCCTCGCCGCCACCGCTGGATTCGCCTCGAAGTTCTGGTCAGAATGCACCCCAGGAGAGGTCCAGGGAGGAGCCGTATCCGTACCTTGGTTTCCCCGCGAGGGGTCGTTTATCGGGTTCCACCTGTTCTTCGCGAGGGCAGTGCTGGTTGCTGCCGAGATTGATCGCATCCTTAGAGAGCGACCATCTGCTGAGTCACATTCTGCTTCAGAGCCGCAGGGAAAAGTTGTTTAGCCTATGACCGTTGTAATTGAATCATCATGGGGATGCGCACACAACGCTTTATTACATCCGCCCTTGCCTCGTTTTTGCCCTCTTCTTTCCCCTTCCTTCTCCACTCGTTTTTTTTCCTCCGTCTTCGTCCCTCTTCCTTTCCCTTAGTCGTGCCAGCAATCTGCAGCACGTCGTCCATGACAGGCGCTATCATGGGTAGCTTGGCCACTCCGAATGGCCAGCACACTTTGTCGACTCATCCTTGAAATGGCAGCTGCTTGCGTGGTCGCTCGCGCGGGTCAATTTATTTGTCTACTGCTGCGAGCACCGACAAGCCATCACGGCTTACACTATCGTTATTTTTCTGTGCTGCCATTGTAGAATGGATCTTCCCTGCCCTCGTCTTCGCTATCATCCTTTTCATCCTCCTCTGTCGTCCTCTTTCCTTTCCTTTTTCTCCTTTTCTTCCTCCTCCTCCCTCGTTCTCCCCGCCCTCACTCCTACCTCCTTCCTCGCACTCCCTCGTCCATCCTCTGGCCTTGATCCTCCTCGTTGCCCCGCATTCCTTCTATGTCCTCTCTTCTCCCACCTCCGTTCGCCCTTGTCGGCATCGGTGTCATTATCGTCCTTGTCCTCCCGATCCTCCTCCAGATCTACCCCTCCACGCTGTCGCGGCGGTACTTCTCCTCTCGCCAGTTGGGTCGCGAGCCGCAGCGGGATCTGGTGACAGGGGCACAGGGCGTAACTGAGGCGACGACCAAGGAGCTGGGTCGCCTCTCGTGTGTGCCCCGCACCACCTGCTCCCCCACCGGGTGAAGAGCCAGGAGTTGCAACGAGGGCCGAACAGATTGCGTGCCCAAAGTAGGAGGATATTGAGCCCAGTTACCCCCTGGGTACGGCTATATGCCTGAAGAACACGAGCAGTTCGAGCCAAATTAGATGGGCGCCCCGCTTGCCAGCTACCTCAATGACGACGTTCGTTGTTGCTTGGCGCGCAAAAGATCGTTGGCTGGAGCGACCAGCTGGGTCGTGATTTCCACAAATCAACTGGCCAATTCATCACAGATGATGACCGTGGCCACTTGGACCTCTGAGTCGGATCCATGTACGGGGACACGTACATAATGTGACCTGCAAAGCTCTTTTGGCGGTTTCGACGCATGGAAGGGCGTTGCTGGTGAATGCAGATGCGAAGAATATGGCCACTCGATAGTATAGGGGCCGTCCCCACATTATATAGTGGGCTATCCAGGTCCCATGTCACCGAACGACTCTCCAGGTGAACTCGTCGACTGGTACTGCCGTGCTAACGCGCAGGTGCACGTATCCAATGTACCTGAAATCTAAGAGCACGAGTGTTTAAGCATGCTAACGCCATGGTTCGGCATTCTCTGGCCTGGCCACTCAAACGCGATCGGCATCAAAAGCCTGCGCTGTGGTCATATGCGACAGGTGCTTTGCCGTTACGCTTCCTCGCGAAAGAACTTGCCGCCGAACTTCTACGATCTCCAACGGCGTGGAGGTATCTGGCACAACTTTCGGCACAAGAGAAAGGTCACCCTTCTATCCAAACCGAGCGACGGTGAAATCACCAGAGGTAAACTGGTGCCAAACTGTTTTGAAGACACATTTGCATGATGATCACAAGTTCGAGACGATGACGTCCAGGCGTGGCAGCGAGTGGCAGCACCCCAACGAAGGACATGCAATCTTCGGTGTGACGAAAAGATCAGTTGGCAAGGGCATCTGCCAGGACTTAAGCGCCCGTTAAGGCTCATGGATCACATGTGGGCGGTGTTTCCTACCTCCGGTGAGGAGTATGGGAAGCGCCAAGACAATGAGGGCAGTCGCCACACGTCACATGTGTCACCCAGGCCGCGCGTGCTGGATAGCCGCCGGTTGCCACCATCCAGTGCAACACAATTGCATGAACATGGTTACGCGCGTGACCGATGGTCTCGTTAGGCTGTGTGCGTATGGTGATGGGGACGAAGAGGAATCTGCAATTGACGATGATCAGATCTGGCTGCGACGTGTCCAGCTGTGCATGGGTGAGCGTCGGGCCCATGCCAAGGGGGCTGGCACGGGTAGCTGGCCGCGCGCCAGGTCGCGATCGAACCGCCCATCGGACAGGTGAGCGTAACATGTCCTCTCTGTTCTTCAAGTGTAACCATTTGCGCCTGATGACCCCGCAGGGGTGTAGCAAGTCATAGTACGGAGATCCCGTCAGAATCGAAGCCACGTTCTCGATCAGAGCAGGCCTTCGTTCAATTCTTTAATTTTTTCCACATTTTTCTTACACGCATGATCCTTTCAAGGCCTCCACCCGGGACAGCTTCGACTTCTATAGCGAGGTCGAGTTGGGGGTGCGTTTGAGTCAAAGGGTACATGTCAATGAGCAAGTCGCCATTTGGCTCAAATGTTATCTCGCTGTCATCCCGCAGCAATTGTCTCAATACTTATCGATGCCTTGTATGCCCTTTGTACAAGAGCGCGCTATCCTCATCAATTATTTACGCTTCGCGTATCCCCACCAGCCCATCTCACAGCAGCAACTCTTGCGAAGCATGCCGACAGTCGTGTTTTTCAGGCGTGTGTCCGCTTGGCCCCGCATATCTCCCCTGTTCCTCCTTCCTCCCGCCTCCTTGTACATCCTCCTTGTGGGGGGAGCGGGAGAAGGACGAGGCGGAGGAGGAGGGAGAGAAAGCGCTCCTCGTGATTTGAGTCGTTTGGGGTTTCTCGTCCTGGTGTGAGTCGTTCGGGCCCTTCTTCCTGGTGTGAGTCGTTCGGGCTCTTCGTGGTGTGAGTCGTTCGGGCTCTTCGTCCTGGTGTGAGTCGTTCGGGCTTCTCGTGGTGTGAGTTGTTCGGGCCCCTCATCCTGGTGTGAGTCGTTCGGGCCCCTCCTCCTGGTGTGACTCGTTCGGGCTCCTCGTGGTGTGAGTCGTTCGGGGCCCGCGTCGTGGTGTGAGTCGTTCGGGCTCCTCGTGGTGTGAGTCGTTCGGGCGCCTCGTCCTGGTGTGAGTCGTTCGGGCCCCTCCTTGTGGTGTGAGTCGTTCGGGCTCTTCGTGGTGTGAGTCGTTCGGGCCCCTCGTCCTGGTGTGAGTCGTTCGGGCTCCTCGTGGGGCCTCTTGGGGGCCTCTTGGGGCGTCTTGGGGCCTCTTGGGGGCCTCTTGGGGGCCTCTTGGAGGCCTCTTGGGAGGCTCCTGGGGGCCTCTTGGGGCCATCTTGGGGCCTCTTGCGACCTCCTCAGAAGTGCAAATGAGCGCTGCCTTCTGAAAAGGACAAAATGAGGCCAAAACCTTTTGTAAAATCAATGATTTTGCTATGATGGACGATGAGCGCTGCCCCCTCAGAAGGCCAAAATGGGTCCACAACCGTAGTAAAATCAATGTTTTTGGCTTCACAGAAGAGGAGAGGGTTTTTTCTCCAGCCCCCCGTCGGGGCCAGAATCCTCGTGAGGGTCGTCGTTTTTTAGCCCTCCCAGGAGTCGAAGTTGACCCCCCTGACGACCCGCGGGGCGCCCTCTCCAGGCCCAGGGGGAGGGGGTAGGGGGAGGGGTAAACCCCTCCCCGAAGGGGAAGAAGGGGGGTTGAGGACAGAGGGGGCTCGCTAAGCCACTCACGCCCAAAAGGCTGGTGGGATTTCGTTCTGGGGAAGTTGCGGGACGAGAAGGAGGAGGAACATGAATACGACTAACAGGGCGACAAGGCCTCTCAGTGGGACGAGGAGCAGGAGGAGAAGGATGTGGAGGAAGAGGAGAAGGAGGGGGCATGAGGCAGGCAAACGGAAGGGGGGCGTGTGGAGGGGGTGAGAAGGACGGGAGGGGATCATAGTTTGACGACGACGGCGATAGTTGTGTGATTTTGATGATGACGAGGACGATGATGATGACGATGATGAAGGCATTGCCGTTGAGGACGGACAGGGACATGCGGAGGACAGCGAGGATGACGAGTAGAGAAGGGCGCCCTTGAGAAGGACGCCTTTGTCCCTGCCACCTGGCAGGCGCCATTCGATGTTCCTACGTTTCGTGAGGGGAGCAAGGAAGTGGGCGGAGGAGCAGGGGGAAGAAGTTGGATGAACAGGCGGAGCATGGTTCTCATGAAGAGAGGAAGAGGAGACAGCACGGGAAAGAAACTATATCATGATACGGTATGGTCTTTCATGGTTAGTGAGGATGATGCTGTGCGGGCGATGATGATGGCAATGATGGTGATGATGATGATGATGATGACGTGTGCTGGTGACGCTGATGATGATGATGACTGATGCTGTTGTTGATGATGATGAATGATGATGATGATGATGTGAGGGGAGGAGGGAGGGGAGGAGGAGGAGGAGGAGGAGGAGGCGGAAGAAAAGATGCATATATCTTATATACAACAGGAGGAGAAGGCTGAAGCAGAGGGCGAGCCTGCCTGTCACCTGCTCTGACCCCCCCTTTGCGCACAAGGTGGACGGCCGTGTCTGTTGGCGTCGGCGACCGACGGACAGGGATCACGACGACGACAGGGGTATCACGACGACGGACGTCGACGGAAAGGCGACGACGGCGAAAAGACGAGACGTCGAAAGACGTCGACGACGACGACGACGGCGGCGGCGGCGACGACGCCGACGATGAGAGGGACGACTGACGGCGACGGCCACGGCAGGCGACATGGTCGATGTTCACCCGCTTCGTGGGGAGACTGGGCGCCTGGCCCTCATCACCTACGGCCCCTGCGAGGCCGATGGACGCACGGCGCCCGCGTTGCCGTCGTCGTCGCCGCCGAGCCTTCCGTCGCCGCGGGCCGTCGTCTCGTCGTTCGTCGTCGTCGTCGTTCGTCGTCGTCGCGTCGCCGTTTTCGTCGTCGTCGTCTTTTCGTCGTCCGTCGTCTCTTTCGTCGTCGTCGTCTTTTCCGTCGTCGTTCGTCGTCGTATTTGGTGACGTCGTCGTCAGCGTGGACGTTCGTCGTTCCCGTCCCTGTCACGCAGTCGTCGTCGTTTCGTCGGCGGCGATGAGCACCACACGGAATGCATTGCCCCATGGTGGGTATTTCCGTGCCTGTTTCCCGCGAGCGCACGTCGGTGTACGTGAGTCTGGTACAGGACGCGCCGTAGCGAGCCGCAGGAGAAAGCGAGCAGCAGGAGGAGGAGGAGAGAGAGGAGGAGGAGGGGAGGGGGAGGAGGAGGAGGAGCATGGGAGGAGCATCGGAGGAAGAGGAGGGGCGAGGAGAGGAGGAGGAGGAGCAGGAGCAGGAGGAGGAGGAGGAGGAGGGGGAGGAGGGGGAGGAGGGGGAGGAGGAGGAGGAGGAGGAGGAGGAGGAGGAGGAGGAGGATCGAGCATCGGGGAGGATCCAGGTCCGGGGAGGATGCGCTGGCTTCTTGCCGCACGCACGGTTTGAGATGTTGGCTCGGAGTGTCGCGCCGCCGGCTCTGGCCCACCGCGCGTCCACCGCGCGTCCGACGCGAAACGCCAGCCGCGGCCCGGTCCCGAGGCGTCGACGCCCCGAGCCTCCCGCCGAGCCTCCCGCCCCGCGGAAGGGGGGCACGCTGCTCGCAGTGCACGGCGTGTCGCCGGGGCCGCCGCCGCGAAAGGCTGAGCAACGGTTCCCGACCGCAACATCAAGCAGTGACGAAGCGCCCTGGCGTGCCTACAGGCCTACCAAGCAGTGTTCTAAGCACCGCTTGTGGTTTCCAGGAAGTGTTCTTAGAACATCTCTGGCCGAGACTGCCTTGTTTTGACACATTGCGTTTACGTTCTAAGAAAATTGTTTTCGTTGTTCGAGAATTGCTGGGCTCTAAGAACATGTCGTGGTAGGCCTAAAGAAAGGCCGGGACGGTCGGTCCCTGCTCAACAGCAGGCGCAGCCCTCCCGCTGTGCCTTCCAAGAGGCCCGAGGGGCCACGGGCCTCTCCTGCCCCCACCGCCAGGCGCCCGCCGCGCGCGAGCCCGCACGCTCTCACGCGCAGGGTCCCCTTGCGCCTGTCCCCCGTCTCCTCTCTGCCGCCCCCCTCCCTCGTCGTCGTCGCCCCCCTCGTTCTCCTCCCCTCTCCCCCGCTCGTGCTCGCGCTCCTCCTCCCCTTTCTCCTCTCGGTCCGTAGCCATGTTGGCCCAAGAGGCGCCCGAGGATGAGCGATTAGTTTTGGACCCTTCCGCAGCAGTTGGCCCAGACTGCTTGGGGCAAGTGCCCACAGACACATTTCGATTCCAGCCCGGCGACCGCACAGTCTGTCTCTTTCTCTTTTGCCATGGTGAAGAAGAAGAAGAAGTCACGGGCTATCCAAGAGTCGAGTGTCGAGCCGAGGAGGTCAGTGTCTAAGTCATCGAGGAAGCCATGTCGTTCGAAGAGAGATGTGTCAGAGTCGCCTTGGCGAAGAGCTATGTCGAGCGATTATGATGAGAGTAGAAGATCGTACAGTCTGAGAAGGAGTCTGACCCCCATCGGCGGTGACCCGACGCCTATCATGGGTGTTTCTGCCAGCTGCACTCGCTCTCGATGTGAACGTGGTGAGAGCGGTGAAAGTATGGTCATGGCAGTCTTCTCAAAGATATGCAGGGGATGTTGACAACTGTGCATGGCGGCACCGTCACGACATTGGACAGCCAACGCGAGAAGATCCAAACGAAGCTGAGCACACGTGAGGAGAGCAGCATCGCACTCACAACCAAGTCTGCAGCGCAGCAGTCTAGCATGGCTACGCAGCAGACACAGATAGACAGCCTCATCACGACGGTCAGTTACTTCCAGACCCACAGCGGGACGAATACAAGCGGCAACAGCCATCATGGCGGTGGAGATGCAGGATACAGCATGGAGGTCGAGAGCGGTCGTGCTCATCGCGGCGGTGGTAGTGTGCACCACGGGCGTGGAGCCAAGGATTGAGGCGGTGGACATAGACGGCAGGCTCCAACAAATGCCTGTGTGATATTCATAGACACGGTCCCCAGGCCCTTGCTGAAGAAAGCGCACGGGCAGCACTACACGGAAACCATGTGCATCAAGTACAGGCACTTCTTGGGGGGGGGGTCCCTTCGTCCACGGCATCGCCCAGAGCTGCGAAGTCACGTTCCCGACGGCGGTCGCGGCCAAGACCCTCCAGCAGAGGTGCAACGAGGATTGGGGTCATGAGTTCACCGACGGCAGGACTCACAAAACGTCCACCATAGATGCCGCATCGTTCTGCCCGTAGACGTAAGGATGCGCCAGCGCGCGTTCAACGTTTTGTTAGAGCCGTTTCCTTGCCGCAGTGAAGCAGTCTCCACGCTGGGGTCCCACATGCTGCCTTGGGGTCAACGGCTTCAAGGGGGTGCTGCTCATCCGTTCGGATGAGGACGTGTTGGGGATGGTCCAGACCGTCGGCGAGAACAGCTGAGTTGAGGAGCTCCAGCCGATGATCGAGGAGTGTTCGGAGTGGGGCATCAGTACTGAGAAAACCCTAGCCATCACTCAGGCAGCCCAGCAGGCGGTTGGTTTGGATGCACCACCGCAGCATTTCTGTCCAATGCGTCCTTAAGAAACGGTGGTGTCGCCTCCAACGGCTCCTACGCTTCTACGCCACGCTTCTGCCGTGCGTGGATTGCTGCCGTTAGCTGCATGCGGCCGCAGGGCCGCATTCGCCAAGCCTCCATGTCCGAACTCGAACCGCGCTGTCGCTTCCCACCAAGCAGCAAGAGTGCCTCCTGCTCCTGCCACATCCGAGTTACATTGAGAAGCCACGGCAGAAGCCACGGCAGACGCCGAAGATACGCCATCGCCGCTTTACTTCAGTAAGCGAGTAGGAGTGATTAGTGTACTTTTTTAGTGTGTTTAAGTGATAGTTTGGATAGTAGTTTGTGTTATTCTAGATCAAGTAGTGATGTATATTAGTGATAACAATAAGCCATGACTTTATTTTTTTTTTTCTTTTTTGCTTTTTTTGTTTTTTTTTTATTTTTTTTTTTTTTTATTTCTATATTTTTTATTTTTTTATTTTTTTCTTTTTTTTTGAATTTTTTTTCTTTTTTCTTTTTTGTTTTTTTTTTTTTATTTTCTTTTTTTTTTATTCGCCACGGCAGACGCCGAAGATACGCCATGCCCGCAGTGATAACATAAGCCATGACTTCTGTCGCGCGCAGTGAGGAGGCGTTTTTCGACGCGGCCGGTAGTGTCGTAGTGGTAAAGTGACGTGTGATTCAACTTCCACCCCCACCCCCTGATATTCATATTCGGATATTGTTATCGTGATTTGGTAGCCTCGCCGCTTTTTTTGTTGCGCATATTTGCCTCCCGTTGCTCACATCGTCGTCCTCATCAGGTCGGTTGCAAGGTTTCTAGGATGTCGCTGAAGGCCTTCCGTGGCCCCCAAGAGGCGCGTCCTCATTTCTCTTCACCTCCACTTTCTCTTTATCTGACCTTCACCCGACAAATATTGCGTTTCTTACGCGCCCGGCGAGGCAAGATGTGCACCGTGGTCGACATCGTGGACGAATGGGGGGGGCTGCGGTACAGTGGTGGTGACGGTCGTTGCCGCCGCCGTCGAAGTTCGAGGGGCGATGGTGGAATTTCTTTTGGAATTTGTCGGTCCGTCATCGGCGTTTGAAGCCTTCCCGAGGCTTCTGGGGACTCCGGAGGCCTGCACCCAGGAGGCCTCCGAGGAGGAGCATGGAGCATGGTCGCGAAAAAAATATGGGTGGAGGCGGCCCTGGCAATCGGGGGGGAGCGTGCTTTATTTAGCTCCAGTGGCCGCCACTGACATTTTCTACCTATCTGTGTCTACACTTTATATACACATGTAAGCCAGCGCTGGCCCCAAACAGTTTTACCTAGCATGTTACGTGATGCGATCTACGTAGTGCAAACTACGTGATGTTATCGGCCCCGCAACTTCGAAGAAGAGTCCAAGAGGGGCCCAAGCGGGCCCCAAGGCCTTCAGCCCAAACATGAAGATTCACAAGAGACCCGTACATTTCAAACCAGCCCACTTCAAATTGAATATCTTCCCACGCCGGCCCTGAACAGCTCGAAGCCCACGCATAATCCCAAGCAAGAGGAGGCCGTCGATAAGAACGAGAAGCGACATGCGAGGACAACCGAGAGAGGCTGGAGGGTTAACGAGGAAGGACGTATAAGGCATATTGGAGGACGAGGTAAGGCAAGGCGTGGAATGAGCCTGTCCGAAAAGCACGCGCAGCTAACAACGCCATGGCATGCGCTACCCAAGCGCACGCGAAGCGCGCGCGCGGTTCTATATAATATAGATAAATACCCCCCCCCCCCACCGGCCCTGGGTCCCACACCTCCCCGCCACATCTCGGGGACGCTCCCGGTACTGCTCCCTCGGCCTTTCCGGGGAGCCTCCACAGCGCCCCAGGAGGGCCCAAGACGCCTCCCAGGAACCCCCAGAATTCAAAAGGATGGTCCAAGACGCTCCCAAGCAGCCCAAGTCAGCCTTCCGACGGCTCTCGAGGCTCCCAGGTGGCTTCCAAGAGACCCCAAGAGAGGTCCGAGAGGCATCCCGGGACGGCCCGAGGAGGCCAGAATCGTAGATTTTCCAATGTTTTTGGCTTCTCCGCGATTTCGAGCTTCCAATGGTCCGAGAGTGCCGAAGAGGCTCCCAAGACCGCCCCAAGACCACCCAAGAGACCCTCACGGCGGCCCCAAGACGGGCAGACCACCCCAGAACAGGCCCAAGATGGGCCCACGAGCGGGAGCAGGAGGCTTCCAGAGACCTCCGAGAGGCCTCCGGGACCACCCAGAGGCCCCCAACACCCCCCCGATCTTTGAGAGGCCCCAAAAGGACCCCGACGAGGCTCCAAGAACAGCCCAAAGAGGGTAAAATCGTTAATTTCCAAAGGTTTTTCCAATGTTTTTCGCCTTCTCACGTTTCCCGCTTCCAACCTTCAATGATCGAGGATTCACAGTGGAACTCCTACTCGGGAGTCCTACACATCCCCTGACATCTGGCCCGTACCGCGCCTCCCGGCTTCCTGGGGAGACCCCAAGACGCCGAAGGACAGCCCATGACGACCTCAAGGAGCCCGTAAAGAACAGCCCAACACGCTCCCACGCAGCCCGAGACACTCTTCTGACGGCTCTCCAGGCCTCCAGGAGGCTTCCAGAACCCCCAGGGGGGCTGGAAGATTCCACACCCCTGAGGGGCCCGGCTAACAAAACCCGCGAGGCACAAACAAAAAACAGCGCCGAACAGCGCCGAGGAACTGGAAAAAATTAGAATCCCACAATTCTTTTTTTTTTCCCAACCATCCTGTGGTGCTGGGTCCTCGTTTTGAAGAGACAGCGCCCCGCGTCCCACCTTCCTTCCTCCTCCTCCCCCCTCCTCCTACCCCTCCTCCCTCCTCCCCCTCATTGGCTCTGCTCTCGGCACACCCCTCACACGTTTCGTAGCCTCATAGGGAGCTCCACCGAAGGTCCCAGTGGCGCAGCCCGCATGCGGTTCCCCAGCCCAGGGCAGCGCTTCGTAGCCCCATAGGGAGCTCCACCGAAGGTCCCAGTGGCACAGCCCGCATGCGGTTCCCCCACCCAGGGCAACGCTTCGTGGCCCCATAGGGAGCTCCACCGAAGGTCCCAGTGGCACAGCCCGCATGCAGTTCCCCAGCCCAGGGCAGCGCTTCGTAGCCCCATAGGGAGCTCCACCGAAGGTCCCAGTGGCACAGCCCGCATGCGGTTCCCCCACCCAGGGCAACGCTTCGTGGCCCCATAGGGAACTCTACCGAAGGTCCCAGTGGCACAGCCCACATGCGGTGCCCCCACCCAGGGCTGCGTTTTGTGGTCCCATAGGGAGCTCCACCGAAGGTCCCAATGGTACAGCCCGCATGCGGTTCCCCCACCCGGGGCAGCGTTTCGTAGTCCCATAGGGAGCTCCACCGAAGGTCCCAGTGGCACAGCCCGCATGCGGTTCCCCCACCCAGGGTAGCGTTTCGTGGCCCCATAGGGAGCTCCACCGAAGGTCCCAGTGGCACAGCCCGCATGCGGTTCCCCCACCACGGCAGCGGTTCGTTGACCCCATAGGGAGCTCCACCGAAGGTCCAGTGGCACAGCCCGCATGCGTTCCCCCACCACCCAGGGCAGCGTCTCGTGGCCCATAAGGAGCTCCACAAAGGTCCCAATGGCACAGCCGCGTGCGGTTCCCCACCCAGGGCGCGTCTCGTAGCCCATAGGGAGCTCCACCGCCCAATGGCACAGCCGCGTTCCCCACCCAGGGCAGCGTCTCGTGGCCCCATAGGGAGCTCCACCGAAGGTCCCAGTGGCACAGCCCGCATGCGGTTCCCCCACCCAGGGCAGCGTTCGTAGCCCCATAGGGAGCTCCACCGAAGGTCCCAGTGGCACAGCCCGCATGCGGTTCCCCCACCCAGGGCAGCGTTTCGTGGCCCCATAGGGAGCTCCACCGAAGGCCCCAGTGGGGGTGTTCGCATGCGGTTCCCCCACCCAGGGCAGCGTTTCGTAGCCCCATAGGGAGCTCCACCGAAGGCCCCAGTGGGGGTGTTCGCATGCGGTTCCCCCACCCAGGGCAGCGTTTCGTAGCCCCATAGGGAGCTCCACCGAAGGCCCCAGTGGGGGTGTTCGCATGCGGTTCCCCCACCCAGGGCAGCGTTTCGTGGCCCCATAGGGAGCTCCACCGAAGGCCCCAGTGGCACAGGGTGTTCCATCGGTTCCCCCACCCAGGGCAGCGTTTCGTGGCCCCATATGGAGCTCCACCGAAGGTCCCAGTGGCACAGCCCGCATGCGGTTCCCCCACCCAGGGCAACGCTTCGTAGCCCCATAGGGAGCTCCACCGAAGGTCCAAGTGGCACAGCCCACATCTCCACCGAAGGTCCCAGTGGCCCAGCCCGCATGCGATTCCCCCACCCAGGGCAGCGCTTCGTGGCCCCATAGGGAGCTCCACCGAAGGCCGCAGTTCGCATGCGCCCCCCCACACAGGGCAGCTTTTCGTGGTCCTATAGGGAGCTCCCCTGAAGGTCCCAGTGGCGCAGTTCGCATGCGCCCCCCCCACCCAGTACAGCGTTTCGTGGCCCCATAGGGAGCTCCACCGAAGGTCCCAGTGGCGCAGTTCGCATGCGTCCCCCCCGCCCAGTACAGCGTTTCGTGGCCCCATACGGGGTTCCCCCGAATGCGATACCCACAACTGCATATGGTTGGGTCCTTCGCCAGGCTAATTTCAAGTTTGGCCCCCGGTCCACTCTTGCACAACAGACCACAATCCAGACCCCCTCACCTCCCAAAGAAGAACCCAGGAAGCCTCTTGAGGGCCCAAATCGTTGAATACTTAGAAAGGAGATTAATGATTCCTACGTTTCCGCACTTCCCCTTCTATACGATTCCGAGGCTTGCGCAGGGCCTCCAGGGGATTCCCTGGACGCAAGAAGCGACAAACATGATATTACATGAGTTAGCCGATCAAGCCGAACTACAACTTGAGCGCGCGCGAAGCGCGTGCGATGTTTCTAGTGTGTGTGTGTATATATATATATATATACGTATGCAAGGCAATCTCGTCATATTTCTACACACGCGGTTATACACATATAGCTATGCGCTTGACACGTTCACGCGTGCTTGCTTACTGCCTATATGCAGTCATATAGCGGCGCGTCTGCTTACAAATTCATGATACACATACATGGGAGATCCCGGCCCCAGAGCCCCAGGCCGCACCCCCCGGAGGCTCACAGACCGCTCGAGAGCGCTCCAAGAGCGCCGAGAGGGCACCAGGAGCACTTCAAGACGGCCCAAGATGGCTTCAGAAGGGCCAAGAGGCCCTCACGACGTCCCAAGAGAGGTCCAAGAGGCCCCCCACGAGGGCCCGGGGAAATCTAAATGGCCCCATTCCTTTTGTAAAACGTTTATTTTTAGCAGATCCGCATCCTTGGATATCCGAGCGCCCAAACAGTTCCAAGAGGCGCCCAAGGACGCCCCACGACGGCTCGGGACAGCCCCAAGACGGCCCAGGAAGGCCCCAAGACAGCCTAAGTGAGCCCCAAGCGGGCCCCTAGGGAACCCCAAGAGGGCCCCAAGAAGGTACCAAGAATGGCGAGACGGCCCAAGATGGCTTCCAAAACGGCCAAGAGGCTTTCAAGACGCCCCAAGAGAGGTCCAAGAGGCCCCCCATGAGGGCCCCAGGAGATTTATTTTTAGCGTATCCGCTCCCTTGGATATCAGTGCGCCCAAACAGCCCCAAGAGGCGCCCAAGGACGCCCCAGGACTGCTTAGGACAGCCCCAAGACGGCCCAGGAGGGCTCCACGACAGCCTAAGTGAGCCCCAAGCGGGCCCCGAGGGAGCCCCAAGAGGGCCCCAAGAGGGCCCAGGAGCGTTTCAAGACGGCCCAAAATGGCTTCAGAAGGGCCAAAAGACTTTCAAGACGCCCTAAGAGAGGTACAAGAGGCCCCCCCCCGAGACCCCCAGGAGACCAACATGTCCCCATTCCTTTTGTAAAACGTATATGTTTAGCAGATCCGCTCCCTTGGATATCCGAGCGCCCAAACAGTCCCAAGAGGCGCCCCAGGACGTCCCACGACGGCTCGGGACAGCCTCAAGACGGCCCAGGAAGGCCCAAAGACAGCCTAAGTGAGCCCCAAGCGGGCTCCAAGGGAACCCCAAGAGGGCCCCAAGAAGGGCCGTGGGGCCTTATCTTGGGCTGTCTGGCCCCAACATGCCGCCAAGAACCATCTGGAGGGCCTCCAGGACGTCCCCAAGAGAGCACCCGAAGCTCCCAAGAGGCCCTGGAGGCCCCGCAGGGGCGTCCAAGAAGTCCCTGAGAATCGTTCCGCGAGGCACCGAAAGGCATCCAATCTGTCCCTGACTCACGACCCGCGCACAAGTATTGTTTGTACGTGCCTATGTGTGTGTGCACATGTCTGTATGTACGCGTGTGTCCTCCTCGTCCCATCTCCTCCTCCTGCTCTTCCTCCTCCTCCTCCTCCTCCTCCTCCTCCTCCTCCTCCTCCTCCTCCTCCTCCTCCTCCTCCTCCTCTTGCTCTCTCCTTCTCCCTCGTCCTCGCTCCTCCCTCGCTCCTGCTCCCTCCTTCTCCATCTCCCTCCCTCTCCCCACATCCATCAGATTTTCTCCTCGTCCCTTTCCGCCCCGAGCGGGAGCTCTGGGCGAGAAGGCTCTGAAGGACGAGCCAGATGAGGAGTCAGGGTGTTTCGGTCAAGGTGTTGAGCTATAACTGGGTAGGGGGTCCCAGGCCAGATGTTCTTGAAAACTCTGGGGGGGGCGTTTTTTTGTTCTGTTTTCGAGATCGGCTTTCTTTTTGTTTCTGGAGCAGTTTTTCCCCGTTTTTGAGTTGTCGCCTCGCCGTTTTCACTTCGTTTTGCGATCCGTTGTCTATCGTTTTCAACTGCCGTTTTGCGCCCGTTTTCGTCGCGGCGTGGCAGTAGAGTGCTTGTCCATTGAAACACGGGCAATGGTGCAATGACCTCCGAGTGGCCAGAAGCACCAAGCAAGCATGCAAGAGGCAAGCCAGCGCGCGCAACATCACCTGGCGTCGCAGCGCCTGTCCTGCGAACGTGGCCGAAACGACGGCCCCAGAGGCATCCAGATACGGATTCCTTTTGTTTTCACGGCACGGCGCGCTGGTGCAGAGGCGGCTTTTCCAAACCCGCGCCGTTTTTTTTCTTCCTGTTTTTGCTCATCGTTTTTTTGTTTTCTGTTTTGGGCCGCCGTTTTTGTTGTTTTGGTCCCAGCTGGTGTCGTTTTGTGCGCGTTTTGGGCTGCCGTTTTTTTGTTTTGTCTGGCCGCAACACCAAAAGTTGAAAACGGACAAAAACGCCCCCAGCGTTTTAAGAACAACTAAGGCCCCCAGAGTGCACTGATTTGTCTTCGGGCCGTTCCGGGCCTGGCGGGGGGCGCCAAAAAACGTCAAAGGGGGCCGAGGGACCTCCAAGAGGGCGCCAAGATGGCCCAAGAGCGCTCCAAGAGAGCCCAGGACCGCGCAAAAGCGTTTAACATTGGTCCAACTTAGCTTGAAGACAGCCCAAGAGGGCTTCAAGACGGCCAAGATGCCCTCAAAAGGACTCCCACAAGGCACTAAGGAGGCGAAAAAGGTAAGCTGTTCGATGGTTTTTGAAGGCTTTTCGTGTTCTCCCTGTTTCGTGCTTCCGACCGTCCAAGACAGCCCACGAGGCCCCAGAAATCAGCTCAAGCCGGCCCAAGAGGCACCCAAACAGGGCGCCACGACGGCGCAAGAGAGTCCCAACACGGCCCAAGAGGGCCCCAAGACGGCCCCAAGAGGGGCCCAAGAGGGGGAACACGAACCGACAATTCGAGCCTTCTGCTCCGCGGGCTCGGAGGAGCAATGCTTTGTGGTGCAGAGTGCCGCGAGGGTCGATCCTAGCTCCTAGCCGCAGAGGAAAATTCGATTGTTTTTCTGCTGATTTGCACGTGCTGGCTCGTTGACACAAGTTTCATTGATTGCCCCAAGTGCTCCGCAGCCACGCTCATAGCATAGCGCAACATGGCGCTGTAGCGCTGCATTTTTCCTGGCCCGTAGCTTGGCGACAGATCTCCGGTCGACCAGTCGATGAGAGCGGAGGAGGAGGAATGAGGAAGGGGCAGGAGGAAACAGTGAATGTTGACCTCATTATGCATGAACGGCTTGTTGTCTCAATGCGGTCAGCACTCGACCAGCTAGAACCTGATCGCGCGCGAAGCGCGCGCGATGGTTTGAGTATAAATATATGTGTATATGTATATGTGCAAGTATGTGTAAGTTTGGGCGGTGCGCTGGTTGAGGCCGAAGTGGCCAGGGACGATGGAGAGAGGGATGGGCACAGCCCTTTCTCCCTTCACCATTTCTACACATGCTCTTGGCCTTCCTCTGCGGCCGCGAGCGCTTTCTCCCCCTCCCCCTCCTCCTCCTCCTCCTCCTCCTCATCGTCATCATCATCGTCCGTAGCCATTTTAGCTCAAGCCGCCTCAAGCGCAAGGGGCCAGGCCCTTTCTCTTCCTCCAGATTCCAGGTCTTCCGCGCGCCGCCCGCGCGCGTTCCGGTCGCGTCCCCCCCATCATGCTCCACAATGCGGCTGGCAACAACAAGAACGACGAAGCAGCCAAGCTGCGCCCGCTGGAGATCCTCACAGTCTACATGTCGCTCGGGGCCACGGTTCTCAGCATCATTTTGTGGATCGCCATCGTCTCCATTGGCGACGAATGGATCAAGAAACGGAACTTGTTCTACAGTATCGACACGGACTTGCTCCACGTTTACGTGGGGCACGGTTTTGTTGGCAAGGCGTTCCAGAAGGCGGCGGAGCACCTGTCAGGACATGAGATCGCAATCCTGCAGGCCTTCCCGCACAAGAAGTTCTATCTGGAGGAGTTTCGCGAGTTCATCTGCACACTCCCGAAGATCCCTGGCTACACCGTCAACCTCTGCCTGATGTGGACAGGAGTGCAGTATGGGTCTTGGATGATGCTGTTCGGCGTGGTGCTGGGGACCATCTTCATGGCGATCGCTGGTGTCCTGCTATACTGGTACGCCTTCATCAAGGCGCGCAAGATCACCCGCGTCTTCTACAAGCTGTTTTACATCTTAGCCCCTCTTGTGCAAATTACGGCGACCGCTGGATATGTCTCGGCTACCATTTTGGTCGAGGACATGCTTCCTGCGGGTCAGGGTGTCAGCGTGGGATCCAGCGTCATGTTCTCCTTCGGCGCGTGCCTTCTCTCGGCCGTTCCGTGCGTAATCGTGTCCTTTATGCTGGGCACGCTGCACGTGGAGAAGGTGAACGAATTCCGGTCTGACCAGAAGAAGTTCGCGAAGGAAAACCCCGAGTTGTACGGCTCCACTGACACCCCCACGCCCGTGGCCTCGGTGCAGGGCGCAGAGTTCGGCCAGCAGCAGGGGCCGTGGCAGACGCAGGGGCAGTGGCAGCCGCAGGGGCCGTGGCATCCCCAGGGGTGGCAGCCTCAGGGGCAGATGCAGCCGCAGCAGGCGTGACGCCGAAGAGCTGGCCGAGAGGGCGGGCGCTGCCAGGCCCCCGCGGGAGCGCAGACTTCGTCGGACGCTCAAACAAATCATCGTCATCATCATCGTCATCGTCACCATAATCGTCATCATCATCGTCATCATCCCCATAATCACCATCGTTGTCCTCCTCCTCCTCCTCCTCTTCATCCTTTTTCTCCTCGCCCAAGCCTATGCGGAGGGCGGTCTCGGCGTTGAGGACGGCGGTTTCAAAGTGTGGCTCCGGCGACAGTCCCGCGCACGCTCGTACTGAACGATTCCCAGATTTTCACGGACGGATGCCGTGTGGTCTTGACAATGTGGCTCTGGCCCCAGTGGCACGCACTGTGGCCTTGGAGCTTCCAAGGGCTGCACGGATGGATGTTGGGCTGGTTCCAAAATGCGATTCCTCGCACTGCTGGGCCATCTGGGGGATCTAAATCCGCTTGGAAACCCACCGTCGGATATAGAAAAGATCTGCTCAGTGGTCGGGGATGGGTGGGAGGAGTAGCATGTCATGTACGTATGGCGCGATCGCGCTTAGCTTGCCCTCCCTTCCCCTCCTGGACCTGCCTCTACGGAGGCAGGCAGCTGTCCCACTCCCCTCGCCTCCCTCTCCTCTTTCTCCTCCCACCACCCTCCCACCACCCTCCCCTTCCCCGTCGCCCCCGTCCGCTGCGTTTCCCTCCTTCGTACCCCCTTCCCTCCGCTTCCACCCCTCCTCTGCCCCCCCTGGGAGCACTCCGAGAGGCATGCCGTGACGCAGAACATTGCACCGTGGAGGGAACACGAGTCCCCTCCCCCCCTCCCCCCTCCCGCTCCTCACCTCACCCCACATCCGAGGCGGGGATTGATCCAGGACCACCGCCCGGGGGATCGATCCTCGGGATGACCTCGGCAGGCAGTGGACGTGGACATCTACATTCGGCCTCCGGGGGCCGACGTGTATCCAGATCCACCGCCCGCCGGGGTCAAGGGCGTCAGTTATCCGGGCGGTGGATCTGGATAGATCCCCGGGAGGAGGAGGAGGAGGAGGAGGAGGAGGAGGAGGAGGAGGAGGAGAAAGAGGAGGAGGAGGAGGAGGAGGAGGAGGAGAAGGAGGAGGAGTAGGAGGAGGAGAAGGAAGAGGAGGAGGAGAAGGAGAAGGAGGAGGAGGAGGAGGAGGAGGAGGAGGAGGAGGAGGAGAAGGAGGAGGAGGAGGAGGAGGAGGAGGAGGAGGAAGAGGCCTTGCCTCGCACCCCCCCACCTGCGCGGTCTCTCCCGCGCATCGCCTCGCGCGATCGCGGACGGCTGCGCCAGCGGAGGGGCCGCGCGCGACGGCGCTCGCCCAGGACCAGAAGCGCGTGGTCGTGGTCGGGCCGGCGTCGGCGACCGGGCCCGTCCGCGATCGACGCACCGATGCGTGTCGGGGGCGTCTAAGAAGGCATAGCATCGCTCGGACGTGTGCATCTTGTTGCTAGGCGAGGGCCACCGAGGAGCACACCGGATCATCTGGTCAAGGAAGCACGCGCGAAGCCGAGCAGAAAAACGGGGAGCGGACGTCCGGGCGGTGGCGAGGAAGGGGGGGGATGACCAGGCGGGGCGGAGATCGTGGCGGGGGCCATCGTATCGCCCCAGATCTCGTGGCCCCATCTTCTTCTGTCATTGCGTCCGCCAGGCCCCCCCGTCCACGCACGTGCCCCTCGGCCCATGATTTGCTGCCCCCCTTGGACGCCCCCCTCCCAGACAGCCCTGATGCTCGGATACTTGTTTTGTTGCTTTGCCTGCTCATTATTTTCGTCCTCAGGAGTTTTCCGGAGGTCAGTCATTCGGGGGACCTCATGAGACCTCGAGGACGAGGGAGGACGGAGGAGAGAGTCGGACAAAAAGAGGCGTCGTCCGAGAGCGAGAGCATCCTATCGAGGACCGCCACTCTGGTGAGCGACAGAGCCCACGGCACATCGGTGAGGCAGGGCATCGGGGTAGTTTGCTCCAGAGCTGTCCGGAACGCTCTGAGGGCGTTCCGGGACTCTGTAGCGGCCGCGGCGCCCGATGCATTCTCCAGGATCGCCTGATCTCCGAGATCCCCGATGTATCCCGATCCGATTTTGCCCCGTTTTTGGCTCCGCTTCAGGAGGCCTGCGGCGGCCTCCAGAGGAGGCATCGGGGGACCTCTTGGGACCTCCAGAGGCCTCCGGAGTCGTCGGTAGTGCCAAAGCCACGAAGTGGGTGCAGATGCTGCTCCATCGTGGAGTGAAGCCAAGCGTTGGTGCATTTCCGGATCGTCGTTGCTCCCCCGTTGTGTTTCTTCGAGCTAGGTGCCAGTGCTTTCCAAATGTTTCGAATTGCATTGTTGGGCAGTGTGTAGGAGCCCTCCGAACCGACCACAGGCCTCCAGAGTCGCCGGCATCTCTCGAGCTTTTTACAGTAGTAGGTTCGCGCCGCCTTCAGAGGAGGTATCAGGGGAATGGCGGAAGCATGCCCCGTGGGAGCAGGAGGGAGGGAGGGAGGGAGGGAGGGAGGGAAGGAGGAAGGGACGGATGGATGGATGGAGAAGGAGGAGGAGGAGGAGGAAACGAGGAGGAAACGGAGGAGGAGGAGGAGGAGGAGGAGGAGGAGGAGGAGGAGGAGGAGGAGGAGGAGGAGGAGGAGGATGGAGAAGAGGAGGAGGGGAGGAGGGGGAGGGAGGGAGGGAGGGAGGGAGGGAGGGAGGGAGGGAGGACGGAGAAGGAGGAGGAGGAGGAGGAGGAGGAGGAGGAGGAGGAGGAGGAGGAGAAAGAGGAGGAGGAGGAGGAGGAGGAGGAGGAGGAGGGGAGAAAGAGAGGGGGAGGAGGAGGAGGAGGAGGAGGAGGAGGAGGAGGAGGAGGAGGAGGAGGGGAGGAGGAGGAGGAGGAGGAGGAGGCGGAGGAGGAGGAGGGGGAGGGAGGAGGGAGGGAGGGAGGGCGGATGATGATGATGATGATGAGGAGGAGGCGGAGGAGGAGGAAGAGGAGGAGGAGGAGGAGGAGGAGGAGAAGCAGGAGGAGGAGGTCTCGGGGGACTTCTGGGGACCTCCTAGAGGCCTCCAGAGCCGCTCGAGCCGTCGGCACCTCCCGAGCCTCCTGCCCAGCAGCAAGCTCGCGCCGCCCCGAGGCGGCGTTTCGGCGCTGGGGTGCGGGCGTTCGAGATGTGACCCTCCAGCAGGGGCCCACGGCGAGGAATGGAGGAGGAATGCAGGGATGGAGGAGGAGGAGGAGAAGGAGGAGGAGTAGGAAGAGGAGGAGGAGGAGGAGGAGGAGGAGGAGGAGGAGGAGGAGGCCGCCCGCAGGGCGAAATACATGCAAACGTGAGCCGACGTCGCCGAGGCAGGAAATTGACGTAGGGGAAGGAGGGAGGAGCAGCTCAGGAGGGGGGGAGGAGGTGAGGAGGATGCAGGCGGGGATGGTGAAGAGGGGTGAGGGAGGAAGCGGGACTGAGGAAGGAAGGGAATGGAGAGAGCGAGGGGGGACCACGGAGGAGTTGATATCTTGTGTGGGAGAGATTCAGCGAAGATGGAGGCAAAGGGACACGGGGAACAATGACGTGATGTGAGGAAGGTTTGAACAGAGCGAGCGCACAACCACCACTCTCGCCATCTTGCCTGGCTTTTTCCTGATTCGCATCCTCCAGCTATCACCCTGAAATGCCTCCTTCCTCTCAGCCTTGCTAGCTCCCTCTCATGCGACGAGACCACAGATGATTCAGCGTCCACTATATACCCCCAGATCTCGCATACCATCGATACTACCCTCCTGCTCCTTCCTCCCTCGTCTTTCCTCCCTCCCTTCTCGCCTCCATCCTGAGCTTCCTCCTTCCCTTCTTCTCCTCTTCATCCTCTTCCTCTTCCTTTGCCTTCTCCTCCTGCTCCCTCCGTGTCTCCATCTCTCTCTTCTCCTCCAACTCCATGTCGCACCCCTGGGTGTGTTGGTAGGGTGGGTCTGGCGGTTCGCTTGAGACGTCATCACAAGTTATGGTCGTGTAGTTTGACACTTTCGGCTTGCGATAGTTATCCGTACGGGCTTCGCCCCCTGCCGCCGGCCCCCTCTCTCGGAGAATGGGCCATGGAAGAGCTAAGTCATGAGGCATTGGCGCTGTCGTGAAGCAGTATCGAAACTTCATGCGAAGCCGATTCGCAATCAGCAAAACCAACTGATCACAAGAGGGGTCACCACACCTGGCGATTGGTAAGACGTGTATGGTTTACGGGCTTGGTTACCACACCTTGCGATTAAAGGGCCGAGGGAGTTCTCGCAGTTTGGGTTACCACGCCTTGCGATGGATGTGCGTGAAGGGTGGCACCGAATTTCAGAAATGTGGCAAATCCCCTGTGTTTTTGGACCCTGACCCCGCGGATCTGCGTGAGGGGTGGCACCGAATTTCAGAAATGTGGCAAATCCCATGTGTTTTTGGACCCTGACCCCGCGGATCTGCGTGAGGGGTGGCACCGAATTTCAGAAATGTGGCAAATCCCTTGTGTTTTTGGACCCTGACCCCGCGGATCTGCGTGAGGGGTGGCACCGAATTTCAGAAATGTGGCAAATCCCATGTGTTTTTGGACCCTGACCCCGCGGATCTGCGTGAGGGGTGGCACCGAATTTCAGAAATGTGGCAAATCCCATGTGTTTTTGGACCCTGACCCCGCGGATCTGCGTGAGGGGTGGCACCGAATTTCAGAAATGTGGCAAATCCCCTGTGTTTTTGGACCCTGACCCCGCGGATCTGCGTGAGGGGTGGCACCGAATTTCAGAAATGTGGCAAATCCCCTGTGTTTTTGGACCCTGACCCCGCGGATCTGCGTGAGGGGTGGCACCGAATTTCAGAAATGTGGCAAATCCCCTGTGTTTTTGGACCCTGACCCCGCGGATCTGCGTGAGGGGTGGCACCGAATTTCAGAAATGTGGCAAATCCCTTGTGTTTTTGGACCCTGACCCCGCGGATCTGCGTGAGGGGTGGCACCGAATTTCAGAAATGTGGCAAATCCCATGTGTTTTTGGACCCTGACCCCGCGGATCTGCGTGAGGGGTGGCACCGACTTTCAGAAATGTGGCAAATCCCCTGTGCTTTTGGACCC